TCCTCTTAGGGCTGAGGAGGGACTAGGTGCCTCTTTAGAAGCTGGGGGCATCTCTAGCAGGTGTCCCCTGAAGAAGACAGAATAGGGAGGCTTGCCCTTTATATCTCCTCCTGGCAGTGCATCCGCCCAGAACTCCTAGGAATGCTTTCCACACATCTCCTGCCCAGTTTAACGAGTGAGAGGCAGACACAGCCGGTGACTCCATTCTGGACCTGGAAAACAAGATGCTCTCATCTGAGGCTTAGCTGGGAGGTGCACACCTGACAGTTTCTTCCAGTAGGTCCCCTAGCCTGGAGGAAAGCCCTCCTGCTTCGTCAAACTAAGCCTTCACTGCCTCAAAAGTCACTGCTGCAATATTCCCATTTTACAGATGTGGAAACTGAGGCTCTGGAATGTCAATGGCCCCAAGATCACGCAGTGGATGCCTGGAGAAACCTGATCTCAAAAGACTCAGTTCCTTGGAGGGTGGGGGTCAGCAGACAGAGCTGAGCTGCAAGCAGAATTGAAGCAAGGCAGTTTTGGGAAGGAGGCTCAGCAGCCTCCTGTAACCCCAGAGAAATGAACAGGAGGACGGGTCCAAGGTGGGGGTCTCCAGTCCCCTCTCCTATAACAGGCTCTTGACCCAGGGTCTATACCAAGAATGTGGCCCCTCCCAAGTGTGGCTAGTTCCCTTGCCTGGGCGCCAGTGAGAAGGCTGTCGCTGCAGCAAAGGAAGGCGATGTATGCAGGATGGGGGTCGGAGAAGAGTTGGGAGAAGCCTCAAGGTTGAGAGGAGGGCAGGGGCTGCTGAGGAGGGTCGAAGGCTGGAAGCAACCGCTCCGTCGAGCAGGGCCTAGAGGGTGCCGACAGAGAAAGGGAAACAAGGGGGAAAACTGAGGAAAGGGCAGGTCCTCGAAAAGAGGGACTGTGCGGGCTGTGATCGCGGGACCCCGGCCCTAGACAGCTCTGCCAGCGCCTGCTCCGTCGCTGTCACCAAGTTCCTTCAACTTTGCCCGCTGCGCTGGGAACGAGCGCTGGGCCCGGGGCGCACGCGGGCCGGGGTCGCACGCAGAGCACACGAGGACGCGCAGGGGCACGAAACCGCAAGGCCTTCCGCGCTACCCAGGGAGCGGCCAGGGTCCCACGGTTCTTGGCTAGGCGCCCGGTCGCGCTCGGACGCGGGCTCCACGCTTACCTGCCTGGCCCGAACGCCGTTCCGGCGCTGCGCCCGCTGCTGCCGCCGCCGTCCTCCCAGCTCTAACTTCGCTCCCGGGATTGAAATTCCTCCCCAGCTTCGCCCATCGATCTGCGCGCGCGCCCCGCCCCTCGCCGCGCGGCCGAAGGGGGGGTTCGCTCTCGCCACCCTCCCCCCCCCGCACCCTCCCGCCTTCGCCCGCCCGCGCGCTCCCTCCACCTTCTCTTCCGCGGTCCAGGCCCGCTCGGCGCCGCGCGCCCTCCCCTCGCCTGCCCGCCTCCCGCGCCCCTTGCGCTCCGGGTGCTCGCGGTCGCTGTGCGCCTGCCCTCCCCCACGCCGGGGCGCTGGCTTCCGAGGCGCCAGGGCGCTGGAAAGCGCATGGGGGCTTCCTCGAGTCCCTCCAACCACCTCTAAATGGTAGGGGGAGGATGCTGTTAGCAGAATAAGCCATGCATGACCCCCACCGCATTAAGCAAGCCATGATGTGCTCTGGATCCAGATACCCCAAATACCGGAGGGCTGGGACCTAGGGGTGCAGGATGCAGGAATGCTGGACCCCTCCCCACTGTCAGGCCCCCTCCTTCACTCACTCACCCCAACCTCTAGGATGATTTGTGCGGAAGCCCCCAGCCAGCCTGTTACAGGTGAAGAAACTGAGTCAGGAAGGGACCCAAGAGGCAAAGCCCTAGGAGACAGCGGAAACCCCCAGACCCGCACCCTCCGAGGACTTTTAACTCCCTCCGGTGGGCGAGCCGAGACAGTGCCCTGAACAAGTACGATTCCTAGCCTCTGGCCCCCTCCAGTCGTTCCTCAGCTCGGCCTGTCTCCCACCCACCCACTCCGCGCCCCCTCCCACTTCCTGTCCCCGCCCGCTCCTGATTCCCGGCCTCAGTACCCCCGGCACGCTCTCCTCTCTTCGCCAGCAGCTGGGCAATTCACCGAGCATACAAAAGAGTTGACTCAATTCAAAGGCAGCAAATCAAGATAAATCCTATAGTGTGCGAGGATGGGAGAGGGAATGTGAATGGACGCCCACAGCACCAGCCAGTCCTATATGCACTGGTCCAGCCTGGGGAGGGGCTCGTGCAGGCCAGACCCACCAGGGCAGGCAGAGAGGGTTCTCCCAGAGTAGTGAGGAGTGGGTTCGAGAGGCCTTCCCCCTACCCTGACAGGCATTCAGAACACAGGCTGGAATTGAGGAATTTGGGGCTGTACTGCCTCTTCCTGACAGCTGGGTGGGGCTCCCATGGGGGTACCAAGACCAAAGCCAGTGTACCCCCAAGATTGCAGACAGTCAAGGACTGGAGCAGTGTGTCTTGGGGATATATATATATATCAGGCCCATGGTCTGGGACAGAAGAAAAGGGCAGCTGGGCTTGAGGAAGATTGGACCTGGAGCCTTTATCCTTCACCACCCGACCCTGGGTCACTGCCAGGCCCCCAGCCAAGGGCAGCCCTGGCTTGTCCACCACTGGATACTACTAGGCCTGGTGTGCCAGGCCTGGGCCCAAGGACTAGAGGTGGGTTGCAGGAGCACCATTCCTCGCTGTTGTGTCTGAGACCATCCCAGTGAGGTCCACCTAGGGAGAGGGTGAGAGTTCCCCAGTTTACTGGTCACTCTTGAGATGTCCTCTGAACCAGCCAGCCCTGAGCAGGAAATGAACAGGAGAGACCCAAGGCTCCAGCTTCCACCATCTGGACCAAAAGCAGACCCTGAGAGGCTGCTGGCTCCCCCTCCTGCAACACCCCCCCCAAACACACACCTACACACCTGCGTTGGCAAAACAGTTGGGGCTTGGACACTGGATGGGCATTACCTGTGTGGACACTACACTGGCCACCTAGCCCCTCTCCACCACGACCTCTGGGTTGCTCCCCAGGTGCAGGGTCTCCAAGCCCCTTTCCACCAGTACAAGCACAGGCTGAGCCCTTCGCTGGTACTGCTGGTACGGTCAGTTCCAGAGGTAAGTACATGGGCACTCCGGATCAGGGATCACACGTGATGGGGTCAGAGGTGCTGGAGGCACAAGAGCCAAGCATCTATTTTGGGGGGTAGGTGCTGAGAGACAGTGCTCCCCTCGGCCCACTTCCAAGGAAGCTGCTCCTTCAGCCCCTCAAATCCCTCTTGCTGTCCCTCCCCCGGGGCGCTCGGATTCGAGGCCTGTGTGTAAGTCATTAATTCTCTTACAGCGACGCCGGCGCCACCGCGCGAGGACATCTGTCAGGGACTCAACGGTGCGCTCCACGCCCCCTCCCCTCCCCCAGATCCGGAGCAGCGGCAAAAGGATGCGACACCTCGCTCTCAGAGCTCTGAGACTGCCGAAGCGGACGCGCCAGCGCTGGAGGGCGTTAGGGTCCTGGAGTTAAAGGGAGGAGGCGGGGCAGGAGGCTGGCCGTCGGGACTAAGATCTCGAAGCTGTCAGGAGGGGCTGGGCTCCGCAGACCCCGAGACGGAAAGAAGTACCAAGTATCTCACCTCCCCCAAATGCTCGAACCTGCTAAGCTCCGACCAGAGCGGTGGGATAGGGAAGGGGAGGAAGCAACAGAAGAATCTTTTTGGGCCCTTGGGGTGCAACGCTGGAAGAGGAGATGCCAGGACAGAGTCGCTGGAAGAGGAGATGCCAGGACACAGTCGCTGGAAGAGGAGATGCCAGGACACAGTCTCTTTTCTACACATGTAGCCAAAGCTATACCCCCAAAACCCTTTACAGGAGATTCGCAGGGCCACTGAGCTCTTGGCTGCCTCGGCGATCCCCGTGCCCCTCGGATAGAATGGCGACTGCCCGCAGGGGGAGTGGATGTGTTGTGCGTAGGCGGCGGGTGCAAGGACTGGGTGGGTTCGGGAATATCCCCGCTCATGCCAAGGATCTCACACCCATCCCGCAGAGGGGCACTCGGTTGGGAACGGTGCTCGGATCGTGCGAGTCCGGCCAGGAGCCCCTAGCGGGTGGCTGTTGTTCAGATCATGCAGTTTAGGAAGAGAAAAAGTTAGGGGGCAACACCCGGAAATCAAAGAGTGGGAGGAGAACCGGGGGAAACGAAGGAAAGAGCGACAAAATGAGGGACAGGAGAACTGGGGAGGAGTAAGCTCTGGTTAGGGTCCCACCCCAACCCGCAGCGAGCGGAGCCTTTGGCTTCCCTGGCCGACAGCAGCTCAGGTCACGGGCGCCTATTAATAGCCGCGAGCCGGTCCTTCCCGAGAGCTCTGTGGAGCCCCACAACCCGGCGGGCTGGGGGCGCGGGGCCAGCAAGCCCCATGCAAGAGTGGCGGCACCCCCACCGCCCATTCCCTCTGCCCCCCCGATCTGGGACTGGTTTCAAATGGGGGAACAGTCTTTCGGCCAACTTGGGGCACACTCAAAGGCATTCCCCTGCTCCCTGCCCATCCCGCCTTTCGCTTTCAGAGCGCTCTGCAAAGTTTCGGGGTCCTCGAGGCTCTTCCCAACCCAGAGGGTCTCCAGTTGCGGCCCTTGGAGCCCCGAAGTAGGGGAGGGAAGTTTGTCCTGCCCGAGCTCAGCGGCTGCGAAGTTCGGGTGCGCGAAGCTCCCGATCCCGGTGGGTAGGTGAGGGGACTCCGGGGGTCCACAGGCTCCATGCTCCGCAAGCGAAGCCACACGGGTGGGGTGCTTGACCCCACTAGGACGCCCGAGGCGAGGCACGGAGACCCGAGCTGCGAGAGCCCTGGGAGACCCCATACGGCCCCAGCGACCACCCCGAGCATCTGTCCCGCTCCCCTCCCCCCAGGGGCGGGGACCCGTCGACCTGCAGCTGCGGCAGAGGGGCTCCCTCCCCGGCCCTCTCCCCTCCCCCGCCGGCCCCTTCCTACCTGGGCCGGGGTGTGGGCCCGGGCTGGAGGCAGGTCGCCAGCGAGCTAAGCGCGAGCGCCCGGATCCCCGAGCACGGCGGCAGCGGCAGCGGTAGCGGTGGCTTCCTCCTCCTCTTCTTCCTCGGGGCTCGCCGGCTCCAGACAGACCTCCTCCCCCTCCCGCCCTCCCCGCCCCCCCCTCCCGAA